ATAGTTTAATTAGCAGTCTGGTTTCGTGTTATCATTATGGTAATACGACTGGTGATTTTTAAAAGGGCATCCATTGCAGTCTGCTCTGCGTGCTAGAGTTCAACAATACAGGGCAGCTTGTTTTTCTTCTAATTATCCACTGCTGAAGACTTAAAACAATCCACCTACCAAGTTTCATTGTGAAATAAAACTTTGCAAAACCTTATCTAAGAAGCCTGAAAGAAAATGAGTGTAAATTGAGAATGTGGAAGTAATACTCTATTTATGAATGGCGTTGGTATTATAGGTCCTATTGGCTCTTCACTGGTTTACTTCTACATATCAAATGAGAAAAGGCAAAGGGAATAATCTAAAAGCCTCAAATATCATGGAATATATTTGCCAGTACTGAACACGAAATACCAAATTCAAGCCAGGTGTAGAAAAAGCTGCAAAGCTCTCAAGTTCATGGGGATGCACCTATGAAGCGTGGGCCAAGAAATGAAAACTAGGAAGCTCCAGATTAGCAAATCAATGAAAAGCTTTAACAAGTAGAATGGTATGAATACATGGCTACATATCTGTACATATATACATACACTACACTTTCTATACACTGTACATAATATATTTAGACAGATATAAACATATACATTCATACACACATACATACAACTATGTACATATGCATTAGCTGCTCGAGTAAGGTCTAGTATTGAACATGCAGAAATGCACAGTGGTGGGAGGCACAAAATAAAGATGTATAGAAAAATCTGTCAAATCCTTTAAAAACAGGGGAGGAAGAAAGGCATGATTTTAATAAGAAGCTAGTTTCAAAGCATTTCTGCAACTCACAGGATAAAACATGCTATGGGAGCTATGGAACATCATGACAGTATTATCCAGGGTAACCCTGGCATGACTTCACAACAAAAAGCTTTGTAATGAGATGTTTCTGAGGTTTGGTGTTTTCCAAGTCTAACATATTTAGACTTAGAGAATTTAAACCTTAAGAAGAATGTGACTTGCAACTTCGGTATAACTATTGGGGTTTTTTTTTCCCCCACAAATTTCAGATTTAAGGTTGATATCATTAATTGCAGCAGAAGTAAGATTGTATCATAATTTATCAAGAGGGGTTATGGCATCTTCAGTCAAACACTAAACCTGAACTTAAATCAGAGGAGTTTACTGTTAAGACGACTCAGCAACTTCAGAATTAAAAGGGGCAACAAGCAATTGTTTTAATCTTGCTCCCTTTTGTCATGGCCTCTCGGTAACTTTTACATGGAGCTCTTTTTTATCCTTTGTTGTCCATCAGGATGCAGTAGATGCTGACAATTTGTCCTTTCCCTGTCCCTTCATCTCCTCTATAGAGTGACCGTGACCTTTGTTGAGTCTACCTGGATGCTTATGGAGGTATTGCGACAGTAGATGCTGTGTGCTGTCATCACAGCAGATCCATGCTTATCAAAGCAAACCATCACAGCTGCTGTTATGCTCTTTATGGCAAGCGTGGTGAACTACTGAGACCGATGGGAGCCTACTTGTTGCTCTCCTCCCAGTATTTCTACTTTTTTCTTGGGGCAGGGGGGACAGGACAGGACACAAACCTACGCTGCTTTTGCTCTCTAAATAGTAAGTGAAAGAGAGGGGAAGGCTTTCAAATAGAAGAACAAAGAACATTTTAAAGATTCTCCTTTCTTCTGGGGGACGTGATCCTGCAGGTATTTGCTGATGCACCTTTCATCATTAAGCAGTATTCATATGACCGATAGCTGGTTCCTTACATAACGCATAGACATCCTAAGGAAACTGCAGTCAGCAGCAGCTGAAGCCACAGTAACTACATTGAGTTTATTTTTTTCTTTATTGGTGCCTTAAATGTTGCGGAACTGGACAATGAAACTATCAGAGCTTACGGAGTCTAGTTTGTTAAAATGTTTGCTAGAAGCGTATGTTTGATTGACCGGCCGCCACTTCTCCTGCTCTCATCGCCCGATTCAGATAGGGCCCCTCACTGCTGCTGTGTTTGCAGAAGACGCCTCTGATCCCTGCTTGTTTGGTGGCATCCTCAGCCTGTTAAGTTCCCCTTCCTGGCTAAACTGTACCCTGACAGCATTGCTACTCACATTATGTGGTGCTTTTAAAAATTATCCCTTTCTAATTAAATGCCAGATAATCAGGGAAGGATCCTAACTACCCTCTTCCTTTGTAGTGAGCAGGGAAACGCGTCTGGCACACCACCATTCAGGACTCCTGCAAAAAGTCTGCATACTATACCCAACAATGGAAACACTTAAGTGTTTTATAGTCACTGCCAAAGAAGAAATAAGTTTTAGAATAGGCCCTCAGGAGCTTGGTTTAGCCTGGAAGCCTCAGCTACAACTTTTTTCTCCCTATCGCACCTCTGAATATGCCCTTTGCCAATGGGTGCTATAAAGACAATACAGAGCCAACTGTTTTCAGGACAGGAATCTCCTTGAGTCAGTGCTATTCACTAGAGGCCTTATGGCTGCTCTGTGGCCCATGTATTTCAGAAATGATAGTGAAAACAGACTTTTACTAAGTGATACCAAGTAACAAATAGTGAGCAGCAATAGTTTTCTGCCTCAGAGTGCTCTGAAACCTAAGCCTCCTCAACGATCTAACATTTTGAGGCAGCTAACATAGGGCTCTCTTCAGGGTCTCTTACGTTCTTGGAGACGATTCTCTTTCCCCTCCTACCAGTTCCGCACGAGAATAATTCCACTGTCACCAAAAGCATTAGATCTAACATATAACCAATGTAAATGAGCAGGAAAAAAAAATGACGTTTGCATGTAGTCTTAGTTCTGTGTCCAGTGTGAGTAAATTAAAGGAAGCGTTTGCCTTTTCGTCCCAACACAAATGCAATAAAACAGCATTACTACAAAGCTAACCTAAAATGCCCCTATACCGTTATCGATCATTATTCCTATGTATCTGCAAGATCCTAATCCAATTCCTTCTCAAAAGGGTTGGAAAACAAAGGGATGATGCACTTCTGTTGGCTCATTATCACCCCCTACATGCCACAGTTTCAGCCAGCACAGAGTTTTGATTTGTCTGAATTACTACTGATGTACACCTACACTCAAGCTCAGATAGACCAAATCAGATGGTTTATCACTATTTTTCTACTGAGTTAAAATATTTTAATTTTAAAAGAGCAGCAGAAACAGGACCTAGAAAACGCTGGAATGCATACATTTTAGGCACTAAGTAGAGCTTCAGTGAGCTGCCACTTTTCTTAGACTCACCCTCAGACTATGACTCTTTGGCTCCTCGTTCTGTAAACACAAGTCTGGCCTTGAAGTTAGGCCTTTAGGAAAACAAGCTTTTTCCATATACCTAAAGCCAACAAACACTGTTTCAATAGTTTTGTTACAATAAAAAATAATCCTGTTTCACCTTCACAAGCAGAACTTTGCACTTGCAAAAAAACCAAAGAACACCTGAAACTCATGAAAAAGCAACTTCCATGAGATTAGTCGGTTACTGTTTTCCAGTCCCCGGAGAGGAGGGTAAGAAAATCTCATAAATGACAGGAACTACATTAGCCATGCAATATTTTTTGCAGTAATGGTAACCACTTCTGTTCAGTAACATACGGGGATTATGTAGATTCAGAATCTGTGGTGCAGCCCAGCTGCAAACCAGGTAAATGGCGTGCAAAGACAGTTTAAAACTCACTGGAGCCTCAGCCACGCTGTATAGGCAATTCTACCTTCATTTTCTTAGGATGACCTGAAAGCCCAGCCACCAGAAGTGGCTGAAAATAATGCCCAAGATCATCACAGGACAAGAACAACTTGGTGAAGCCCATTTTCCCTAGCTATGCCTTTTCCATTGCTATCAAAGTAACCCCTAAACGGAGGGTAGAAAGAACCCCCACCTCAGTTCTGCGCCTCTGGAGCATCCATCTCTTACTAACGGAAGGTGGAGGAGAGGAAGAAAGATTTATTTAAAAAGTTACAATAGCTTCACTGCTAGATTGCACTTGAAATTTAGTGCAAAGGAGCCCTACTGCGTTGGAGAATATGTTTTATAATTTTAACGTGGCAGTGTTTTCAGTGATTCCTTTCAGCGTCTCTCACTAGCAGGCCAAATCTTTGACTCAATTTTATGGTAGCCCTTGAGTAGCATGTGAGAAAGAAGCATTAGGTTATTATTCCCATCTGTCTTATATTTATAGCTTACATTCAAATACTCAAGACGCTTTAGATTCCGAATGTTTCTTAAGCTGTGGGATCCGCCATCCGCTGTCAAAATTTCTACAGTCCAAACTGTTACTTTTTGAATCAAAATAGTTACAGTTAGAGAAAATACTTTTTTGCTCTTGGCACAAGAACTAAATTAGCTCGGCTCTGACTAACGTGACCCAGCAAAATCATGCTGAAGATGCCACACAGAAGGAGGCTTTATAGATGTCAGGTGGTAATACGTATCTATTAAATGCATTCATGAGATTTAAAAAAATAAACCCTAGATATGGTTTGCCTTGCGATCTCTCATTTACAAAAAGTAACATTTTACCCCAGGTAAAATAATATTGACGTCCAGGGTACTATTTGCAGAGAAAAGAACTAGCAGATATCCATCAAGGACGGATACCATCATGTGGCCTGGTATTTGTCGGAAGTGCGGTTTATTTGTTAACAGAGCTGCATGAAATTTACCATTTTGATTTACAAACACAGCGTATACACGTTAAGTCTTATTTCATCCAATTCCTCTGTCCCCTCTAAAATATAGTGGGTTTTGTTTCTCTTAATTATTTTCACTGTGTAAGTAAAAAATAATTCAGGGACATTTTTTTTTGCACACGAACTGGGACTCTTTTACCTGAAAAATGTAAGCCCAAATGATGTTTGTCATGAAAAAGTGTGTAAAAATTTGGAAAAAAATGAATCTGATGACTAGTGTATTTTGTATTAAGGAATATTACACGTCTCATTAACAATGCTTACTTAGCTGCTTAAATAATTTTTTTTTTTTTTTTTTTTTTACAAAATAGTAGAAGCAAATTAAACAGCATTATCTTCTCGCTTATTGCAATTAAAAATACCACAATAGTTCGATGTACACTATTTTTAGAACAACAATGACGTAACCCAGTAAAACTTTCATTTTTAACAAAAATGGCCACAACTGTTTCCAAGGTAGGTACTTCTTTTGTTGTTAAAGCCACAATTAATTTTTAAGTTATATACCCTTAAAACAGGGACTTTGCATCCGAGGTGCCGACACAATCACACAAGAAGTGACGCTGCAGTACAGCAGCTAGTACAACGCTCCGCGTTCCAGTTGACTTAATGCTAGATGAGGGCCTTTTTTTCACATTAAAAATACAATTTCACTTGCTATAGCAAAAGCTCAGAGAAAAGAAAGTGCGACATTACAGATCTCTGCATTTATGTTGGACTCTTTGTAACATCCTCTTGAGAACAGAAATTTCTGAATGCTATAACTATTGCGATTAATAACAGATTTTAATGCATCCAGAAGCCAAAATTACATAGCCTTCCATGTCACAAAGAGTGTTACAAACGTGAGCCTCCTAGCGAGAATGAAGCGTACCAAGTCGGGACTTGTTACTACATTAGGAGCCTCATCTAAAGTTGCCTAAGGTCTTGGCTGCAATTCAGACCTTTAAAAATGCAATCACCAACTTCATGATGTTCATTAACATCAATGTTAATATTAGAAGTAGATCAAAAGTGCTGAATTTTATCATTAGATTTTTGTCACGTAAAAATGTACAAGTAGAAAATGCCTTTGCCATAGAAATAATTAAAATAATTATCTAATGTATCTAATAAGCCAGGATCTGATGAAGCTATAATTGTTGTGACCAAAAAAAATCATTTAAAACACTAATTTGTATATTAATAAATTATACTAAAATGAAAGCAGTGCTAGCTGATAAGGGCTAGTACAAGAAAATGTGTTGATGGCTCACTATTCAAAACAATTTTAAAAGAAGTTCATTTTATAACTCCATGCTGTATCAGTCATTATCTGCAATTGTATGTGACTGAGTATAAATCACAGCTATACCTCAGTTTCAAACTGGGTCACGGGAAGGTTGAGAGCTTTGCAAAAGGAGGAGTGCTTAGTCCTCAGGGAAGGGAGAGCTTTACAGTACATACTCTGCTGACTGCTAGAGCTTCTAAACATTTCAGGTTTTAAATTGTAACCTTGGCTGGACGATGAGTTCAGAGAGGAGGAGCAGACTGGGAAATACCCCAGGTGTACTCAAAGAGCTTCACACAGCTCTGCTTGAAAGTGATTGTTCTTCCAGCTAATGACCGATTTTCCCCACAATCAAAAGGCATCCTATCAGAGTATTTGTCAGGACTGCGTAAACATCAGTGTCAGGTTGAGTAGAAACTTTAAGGAATCTGAATATTTCCTCATAACTGTGGAAGGAAACTCAAATTCTGTCTTCTAGTTTGGGTAATTTCTGCAGCATGTTACCGTCACTATGCTTGTGTCATGCTGTTAATCACAGCTGCACTAATCTAACAGAGTATAGTGCCAGACAATGTGGAAATCTAAGTTAAGAATCCACATTTAATGCATAACATAAGAACAAGTGACTTTTTGCAAAATAAATGATTGTCTCCTGTAGCATTCTACATTTTCACAGAAATCACTAGCGTTTTTACTAAGGACATACACAATTTTTTCATTTTCCCCTACTCACAAGCAGGATGTTGATGACATTATCGCTTTGACAAGAAGTGCTTACAAAGTGCTAATATTATACCCTGGCAATTATTAGATATTAATTCCAAGGATATTTTTAAATATATACATATTGTTCTTTTTACTTTTAAAGTAATTTCATTACTAATCTCCGATATTATAAAACTCTATTTTTAACCACTGATAATTTCTAAATACAAAGCATGTTAAAAGTATGTTCAGTAATCTATAGCCTTTTGAATGAAAGGCATTGAAAACGTTCCTTGTGGCAGAAAAGGTCCTAATAGCAGGCCATTTAATAGCTGCTTACATTTTGTCAAAGTCAGCAAACAGATAAGAAGAAATCTGATAGGAAACTAAGAAACAAGTTGGAAATATCTGTACATACCAAACTGTTATTCTTTTAACTTCTCTCTCTTAATTCTGTTTTTGTGAAAATTACTTTGATGCATCCAATTGTATTGTTCCCACTATGCAGATGTGCCAGTTATTTGACCGTTATATTCTGCTGTTTCCATTTTGAGAATGTAGGGGATTATGCTGTCAATTGGAACATTTCCAATGAGACCAGTAAAAAACAGTTCCTCAGTAATGCTAGAGCTCATCAGCCTAAGTGCTGGCAGGCGAACCAGAATCCGGGCTAGCCTGAAAAAAGAAGTTCAGTGGATTATAAATACATATAATACAAGTTTAAAACACTGTGTGGCTAAGGAACTGGATCTGCATTTATTATTATCATAACTCATGAAGGGCAGTAGAGAGGCAATTAAAGTTACTTTAGCTATTATGAAAAGAATGCTTACTTTTCTGTCCTGCAAGTGAAATGAAAAGCCTCCATCCTTCTCAGTGGTTCTCCAGTGAAAAGGACATATTAACATTACAGTGGGTATGTACAAACATACGGTTCTCCCGGTCTGCTTCTGAAATTCCCGGCTCTGGAAGAACCTCATAGTTCAGGACCATGCGCAGACTAGTAACATTCATACTAACGAATACATTTACACAACTTTAAGAGTAAAACTCTTAATTGGAACTTAAATCATAAGCAGTATAAATCTCAGTTGCCTAGCAACTAAATGACAAACCAGATAGCAAGAGGGGACTGTGTGTGTATATAAAAGGAAATAAGGGAATCTGCTTCTAAGGAGAAAAGGAATTTGGAAGGATACATAATTCCAAATATTGTGGGTTTTCATGCATTAACATGAAACATGTTAACAGACACGCAACATAAAGAAGCGATGATATTGCACTTCTGGGCTTTTAATGCATTTTAAATACAGAACAATTTTGGAAATATATCTGTTGTGTTTATACGGCGGATATACACCACAAATGCAAAAATAAATGAATTTCCTGAACTGGAGGCAAGCTATAGCAAACCTTAGGCAATACTGAACTCAGACCTCCAGAGAACGCTTGAACATCTACGGGAAAAAAGTATGTAAGCCCTTTCTGCCCATACCACTCTTGTAAACATTAGGGAAAAAATTGGAAAAAGATTCAAGCCATGCCACCATTTTTGTGAAAGCTGTAACACTTTTGCTCCAATCTCAATTTGTGTCAGCATTCAGTTGCTCAGAAATAATCAGATTTGTACTCTAAATTAATCTATGGGTGAGCATAGGGGAATAAACAATATTGATTAAAATACAGAAGAGTATTTGGGCTGTGACTCTAATTTTCTTCCTTGAATCATTATTAAGAACAGTAACTCTATAGAAAAAATTCTGTATTTTTTTTTTAAATGGTAGAAATTCAGCTCTCTTGCACAAAGCCAGAATAATTAACTTGTGTATGGAAGAAGAATGTGGTATCTGAGGATATTTCTGAAGCAGAAATTCCCATCCCCACTCTAGCATAAAGACTAGAAAAGTGATCAAAGTATCGATGCACCATACCTACCAGACTGTAGCTACATAACTGGGAATCCTGATGCCCCATCTCTTGACCCAGTGTTAAGCTCCCTTAAAAAAAAAGCTACACTATCTTCAACCCTTGTTTAAGTGTAAGGGTTTGCATGCGTCTTCCACAAGGGGGTAACTTTCACAGGAAAATAAATAAATTCTAGGATTGATTACTAGAGAGTGGTTAGAATTTCCCTTGTGGCACTGAGAATCATTGCATTAGTGAAGTTTAAAAATAAAATAATGAGTTTTGATGGAGGAGATTAGAAAAAGAAGGATAATTATTTCTGGCAAATAATAAACAGGAATAGATGAGAACTGACCAAACATATTAGATACTTCAAAGGCAAATCCTTAGAAATAAAAAAAAGGGAGGGGGGAGCAGGAAGTGAGAATTTCTTATAAAAAGAAGTTTAAGAGACTTGGTTACTGTTCTCCACATATAATCCTTAGATTTCAAGGCTTTATAAACTGACAGTTTTAATACCTTTCTACATAGGTAACTTGACAAACATTAAAAGGACTAAAGTTGCCTTTAATTATCTCAGAACCTCTTTTTGACAACTCTGACTTGCAAAAGGAGGCATCATTTTAATTAAAAGAAAAATGTTTAAGGCAGTTATTCTTAAAACTTCTATTAAACTATGTGTCTGCTTTTCTAAATATGGAAATGAAACTCAATTAAAGAACAAAGTACACAGTTTAATTTAAATGGAAGAAGCTAAGCTTCTTGTTTCTTGCTCTATTTAAATGAATCTGCTTGCTTTTGTGAACAAGGTTCTAGTTCTTTTAGCTCAACTGTCAAAAAAGAACAGATGTCAAAAAGGACACTTTCATGTCAGGATGTTGTTTTGTACTTTTGCCAGCTATGGCCCATAACGTTATTTTGGGTACTATAGACAATAAATACCTATAAGTATCTTCTGGATAGGTTTTTTGTACATAGTCCTGCAATTCCATCTGTGCCTTCTCCTGGAATTTTTCTATTTGGGTTGAACTGGTCAGACCAGGGTGATCTAAAGAACATGAAATTTATGTAGTTACAAGATTCTCACATTTATTTTCATTTAAATATTTGTCTTATGTTATGATATTTAACATATTAGCTGCATAAAGGAAACCATTACACTGAACATTTCCTTCCTGGCTTCAGAATTAACATACTCACTTTTGTCTCTATAGCCAGCTGCATCCACAGAAAAGCGGGTAAGATCAGTCCTGTAGGTATATATCAGGCAGCAGGCAATGACACTCTCAATTTATGTTTCTAACTCTGCTCGTTTAAATGTTTCACTCTGATTTTGACTAACTACATAGATTGAGAAATCTCCAGGTTTCTTTCCCTTGACAGGTCAACTTCCTGACCTTCTCAAGCCTGTCCCTTGTTCTAATTCCAGCTGACTCAGCTCCTCAAAGACAGTCGCACAATCAGAAAAAAACAGAAAATGCTTCGGCGTAGTCAGATACATGATATCTTCATTGCTGTGTTCAAGAAGCGCTTCCCTTGAAAGGGCAGGGAGCTAGCCCAAGTTTGGATAGTTTCTCTTTCCGCAGACTAGAATAAAACCTGTGTTAAACCTAAACCTAATGATACAATCTGCAAGAAATTTCCAAAAGCAAAGTTTCAGGACACCAACATCTTCTAATTAAATTAAGTTTTATTATAAAGAGAAAATAATATATATATGCAAAAAGAAACAGATTACAAGATATCCCTTTTCTTGATAATATGTTAAAGTGGTAACATACTTGACTTAAAGTAAATGATTTACCTTTCTGAGCGAGAGCTTCCCTTTCATTCAATCTGTCAGCAGTTTTAAGTTAAACTGTCAGTGTCCTAGGAACATTTATCCTCCCTTGTCCAGAAAGACTGTTGCTTCCCACTTCTTTTATATTCTTACCGTATCACTCCAGAAAATCTCAAGTATCTTGAGTAAATCTTCTTATCTCATAAACACTGCTGACCATGTTTTAGTTAATCTGCTGTCTTGTTTTAACAAACGGGAGACAGCCTATTTACATTTACTTTTTGAGTTTTTGTGGAAGCCCCATCTAAAAAAAAGGAGATTTTCTGTTGTATTTCATCTTCTATCCCTCTGACAAGTTTTTTAAAAATACTAACATTGAAGCCAATTCCCTTTTGTCACTTTGAGAATGTATTTCCTCTAATCCTTCTTGCATTGACTTGCCTAATAGTGCTAATACACGTCCCTGGTAACTGATTACTGATAGATTCTCAGCTGCTTAAGTAGGGAAGCTTAGCTAGGGAAGGAGAGGATTGAGAATCTAGTCTTCTAAAGTGGGTGTACAGGAAATAACTTATATAATGAAGCTGTAAGTAGTCTGGACATGTTGCTCCAAAGTTATTTTTAAAATATATACTGTTCATGTTACATGATTGTGGAACAGTCAGGTATTTTATCAGCAGCTTAACAGAACAGTCTGATCTCAGGCTAGTAGTCTTTTTAAAAACCAAACGCTAGAAAATTAACACATGTAGCTCATTATTCTAAAAGATACAGTTACTAAATTCCTTACCAGGGCTAAAGAGGACTATAGCTTTAAGGTATGCATATTCATATCCATCAATATCAAGCTTGGCCATGCTGTTACAGAACTCCTGAAGTTTCCAGATGTGTTCCATGACTTGCTTTATTCTGTCTCCAGAAAGCTTATCTAAAAAAATACATCGCTTACTTTTTAAGTGAGCTCAATTATATCTGATATATTAACCAACATCCTTTCTTTTATAAAACAGGCCAAGTGACATTTTAAAGCATTTTGTGTCAAATATTTTGTCAAGTATATTGTGTCAAGTATTTTGATATCTTAGAAACACTTAACAATACTATGAGGATGGCTGAATGATTATGGGAGTGAAGATTTATAAAGATGAGTCCAACACAGTGCTAGCAAACAGAATGTTAACTCTTCTTCATAATTTTCCCAGTATAACATAATCTGCAACACCAATGTTATTCCAGTGATGCACTGTTCTGAGCAGAGATTCTCAAATTATCAAGAATTATTCTACAAATGGATAGTGTGATTTTGGGAATGAACAAAAGCACAAAACACATGCTATCATGCAATTCTAATATTATCTTCAATCAGCATTCAGTTAACTTCTACAGAAGTGAATGCTGTAGCAGTAATGACAGTGCTACTTTTTTTTTTCCCCCCCTCTATATTTGTACTTGCGGAATCGAATTTTTCATTCACTGTGGTAAATAGTCTTTCCTTCAGAAGCGAAATAGTCACTGAAATATATATACATAGATTCTCTGATGTTTTGCAAAATCCTTTTCTTTATGTTGGCTTCATATTCTTTCTTAAAATGTTGATTTAAAAATCTTTTATTATTTTTGAATAAGCTAAAATTAAGTAGTAATAGCTACTCAGTGAGGAAGGAAGAGAATTCTAATTTGGTAAACAAATCTTTCCCTCTCTGATCGCATATCTTTAGACTAGTCAAAGAAAAAAACCTCTAGAGATTATATTAAAACAAAACTCTGTATATATAACTATTATTATTAAACTTCAGAGATAATTCAAATCACAACGAATAAAACCTTTTTATTTAGAAACACATTAAAATCATTTTAGTCCATGCATGATCCTAATATTAATATTTCATGTTACTATAATTTAAATATTTTATCTTTGTCTGTACAGCTAATGGTGTATTCCATTGCTTAGACCTGTGTGCCTTAATGTGGACTTTTGATGTAATTTATATTTATGTTACATATTTTCTGCACTCGCAATAAAAAACTCAACAGCAAAAAAAAGAAATTAGACAATTTTTGTATAGTGATTTGAAACAAGAATGAAAGCATAATCTATGAAGCCATCACAGAATAGCTTTCAATAAAACCTCCAGAGAGAGGATTTCATACTTGCAACAGCATTTTTGGAGCTTCCCTAAGAAAGGGGAGACTGTTCTGTTAGATCTATCAGACCTGTGGTCCAACTTCTCTAACATCCCAGCAGAATCCTGGCCTATTTTGGATTCCCTGATTCGTATTTGCTGCATTCACATAGGTGTAAAAAGCATTGCCACATCATTTGTGTTGTATTGAAAGGTTCTTCGTGCTGGCACAGGAGCGTTTCCCAAGATACGTATCAAAAAGAGGGCCATCAATCATTAGCTGTGTCTGTTGCCCATTCCCTATATTCCTCTTGGAATAATACTGTATTTTCATGCTTCTACAGTCACTCAAGTTTACATAGATTTTAGTATGCTTTTATCTTAGTCCTCTCCTAGGAGGAGAACTCTGGCTACCTGCACAAAGTATACATTTTTTATCATTTGCCAGTTACATATAAACTTTGTTCTATTTCTGCAAGTGAACATATGCTGTGCTCGCAGACTTAAAAGCTGCTAGTATTGTTTTTTTCTCCTATGAAAAGTGGAATGTTATTTTCACCCCAATCAATCGTCTTGGTTTGGAGCATCATTAAAGTAAAAACAGAAAGCAAGAACCCTAACCATAACAAATTATCATTCATCGTAGATATAATTACCAACAACACAACGCTAAATTAAAAAAAAAGTCAGTTAAATCTTCTTAAGGAAATAGGTTGTTTAATGCTTTGGATTAAACTTCAAAATACAGTTATCACCACTGTATCATACAGCAGTATCCAAAGCCATTATATTCGCAAGAATATTTCTGTTGTGGTACTCAGCAAATGAGTACACTTTAAAGGGGAGAGGGAAGGTTTTTGAAGGAAAAAAAAAATCAGGTGTGGTTTAGAAAAAGGCATCATTCTAACAGGAAAAAGAAAATTTACATCTGGATCAGAGGAAAGCTCTGTGAGTGAAACCTGACTTCAGGATGCACTAATGTTTCGTTACGTTGCTAGTCAGATGTAGATGATGGAGGAGGAAAATTTCTACCTTCTCCAACCTTATCCCTATATTTTCTGTGGACACTTCTGTCCCACTGAAAGATCTCTGTGAGGTCAGTGCAACAAGGGCCAGAGACCCCTACGGGAGAGGTCATCATTGCAAGTGAGGGATTCTCCTGCCCCTGGATCAGGTGAACAATGCTGTCACCCATCAGAAAATACCTTGTGACAAATGTTATTCAAATTCCAGTTTCTGACCCTGTACCATTGACAGGGAAGATCATCTGTAAGTGCCATACACTGAACACATACCTTCCTGTATGCTGTTCTGGAGGTGGTTGACAATAGCTGCTAGGATGGTAGACAAACTCATCACCTGTGCACACTGTGCCAGGCCTAAGGTAAAGAGCTCATTCCAGCAGGCACGCACAAGGCTTGTATTACAGTCCTGCCTATAAGCAACACAAAATCAAATAACTATCGTTAGTGTTCATATCATGTTGGCATTACCCTACATAAAGTATGCTAATTATAAAAAAATAATAATAGTAAGGATTAATGTATTCCATATAACTTTAGTAAAGGGCATATATTAGCATATTACAAGAATTACAATATTATTGGAAACCATTTCAGGTTATCTGTTAAATGGTTCTAGTTCTTTATCAAGATATATTTCTACAAATTAAATGCTTTTGAGTCACCTTTCACTTCTGTAACCACAGTAACATTAAATATTGTAATTATCCCCTCCTCTGCCATCTTCAATTTTTTCATTAAAAAAAAAATTGCATAGCCTTCACACATTTTAAAGAATTAATTAAAAATTAAACAATGTAATAATTAAAAAATTCAAAACAGTTGAAAAGTGTTCAGATCAGTACTTAAATTTCAGTAGAAAACAAACTGTTCAACAGAAAAATGTCTTGTTTACCCAAGTGCTTGAAATGCAGGTATGGACCTTGCCCAGTGCATAGAGAGGAAAAGTAGCCGTGATGCTGACTCACAGATATAGTGAACATTAAGGTACTCCGGCATTGGACTGGGCATTGTCAGCTGCAAAAAATAAAAGTACAGTACAGTATATGTAGTTCAAGCATAAATAAATTTTTATTATAAATCAAATAAGGAACAAAAACTTTCCAACTACTCTTATAATCTGTCATAGCCAACTGTGTGATAAGAAACTGTCAAAGTAAAACTTAAGTAAACAATTCATTACTACTGGCAAGGAATGTAAAATGAGGGTAAGAGATAAGAAATTAGAAATAATGTGGCTGCTAACGTTTCCTTCTAAAATGTTTTAAATAGTCCTTTAATAACAATTAAATCTGTAATTTCATTGCTCTGTAGAGTGTTTTTAGTGTCACAGTACTATAAAACTTCTCCTGTAACTTTTAAAAAGTAAAATATCAACTCTAAACATCTAAAATAGGAAAATCATACAATAGAAATCTATGCTCACAAAACAGAATTAATGGCAATATGCAAGTCATGATAAAGGTTTGACTACATTAAGTATTACTTATCTCAGTAATTATTTTTGTATATCTTGAAACAATGCAATTTGGTAACAGCAATATGAACATTCTTGTTTCTCCCACGCTGTTCATCAACATGTATTTCTTTGCATTCACTTGAAACAGCAGCATCTTTAAAATGCAAGACCTTCTACAGTGGCCTAACTGTAAGCATCTAAGGCGGCACTGGAGCCTTTTAGATGAAAGTTTTAAACTGTATATATTTATAAATGAATTAAGTATGCATATCATACTATTTGATACGGAACGTGATCATCAACAGCAATGGAAAGTAAAATAAATTTGAAAGCATCCTTCTGTCTATGAAAGGGTCCTGTGAAATAGTACCTACACTTTTCAGATACAACATGCAAGAGTGAAAACTGTTTAGACACTTTGTAACAGTAGATGTTTTACTGGGGGATGTTCACAAAATTAAATATAACAATAAAGAAAACATAGTAAGCTCGTTTTGGGTTATGTCTTAAAAATTACTTTGTTTAGCAAGATATGTCAAGAAGTACATACCTTAAATGTGACATGTGTATCTGTAAGTAGGGGTCCTTCCACTTCAATAATTGGTGTTGACTGATCTCTACTGATGACATGAATATTCCCTCCTCCTGTAGGATCCATCCCATCTGCCAAGTTCTGAGCTGCTGAGCCATCTGTGGTATTAAGTGCTTTAGCCAAAGTATCAAACGCTCTGCAGAAAAGAATAATAAACAACGAAAGAGTGCTTCCTTACAACCTTAGAAGTTTCATAGCAGTGGTCAGATGAAACCCTATAAAGTGTTTCCACTCAAAAGTTAATGAACAGAAACTGTACATTAAACTGTAACTGTTTATGCTAAGACATAGGACTAGATTTTTCAATACCATCTGGCCCCTTTCTTTTGTTCCATATATGGCTGGTAAAAGATTTCCTCTGTAAGGGAGAAACTTTTCCCTATCACAAGCCTTGCTTTAATTGTTCTCATTTTTGCTAATAAAGAGGTCTCTTGCACTTACCATCCACTGTCCCCTCCTTCTCATCTTGGACATTCATAACAGATTAGGTGACGATTATAGAGCAGGTGCACTCTGCAGAGCGTGCAGTCCCTGTCCTCAATGTCCAGTTTGTGGGAACAGCAGAGGATAGTGTGATTCCCTTTGACACAACGTGCCCAAATTGCCTTCTCCTCAAGCTGGGATATGACGAGAAACTCCTGATTTCACAGTATAGACAGAGCCTTAGAAACCTTCTGACGGTTACGTAAGAGAAACTGGTCCCTCGACTTCTCTATACTCAAACTGTAGCTGGGCCATTGCAGAAATAAGGCAGTGTAAACTCCCTCCTTATGATAAACAGAGCTTAGATTTAGAGAAGAACTTTGTGCTCCTGTTTCACACCAATGGACAGTATTATGGTATTTGATAAAGCTGTTTTCCCACTATTTTTGTCAAGAAGTCTTCTTGATTTTTAGGATCTTTCTCTCTAAAAAAAGGAGGGGTATAAGTAGAAGCTGCAGAGTATGAAGTATTTAAGTATCAGTTCACTCAGAGAGTTTAAATAAAAGATTGAAGAACATGAAGTTAAGCACCTATTAATAATCTTCTACTTGAGGAGGACTGGACAGTTTTGAAACCAAGTATTTTTCCTCTTTCACTATACTGCCAATTTGTGTTGTCCTTTAGAAAAGTCAACTTAAAAATCTCAAGCCCTGCACAAAGTGGAAATTGCAAGATTCCACATTGCTTTTTTCTCATTAAGATAGGCAATAAAGACTTTAAATGAGAACTCAGTCTCTTTCTAAACATTAAAAAATTGTTTATTAATCTTACAGTTAACCACATTTTTCCTACACTACCAACTGGTAGTTTGGTAGCACATTCTCACAGAGAAATCAGCAATACCACCACTAAAGGGCAGGGCTAAGGGCATGAGATCTGCATAGAAGACGTTTCCATACGATAAGCCTATCAAATAAAACAGTACCAAAATGTTGTTATGCTCAGAGTCTCTCAAGAGAAGGTACTGTTTAAGGTCACAAACGAGTCATTTATTGAGTGTGAAATCTGGTCCAGCTTTAGAACACTACATTTACAACCAAACGTAACATGAAACACAATTCTTGGCAAGAAGAGGAGCGCAGGCTGAGGAGAACAATCAAACCTGAATTTCTAAAGAATTGATGTTCAAAGTAGGGGGCAATCTCTACTGTGTTTGGTGGCACAATATCAAATTGCTTCAATGAATGAGTGTAAGTGAACATAACAGAAAGTACAGCCTGCTACATTAACCTGCAGATGTAAATGCATACCGTGTAATCTCACTTGCAGATTGCTCTTCTTGTTGAATTTCAGAAGTATCTCCGTTATTTAGTGACTCACTGAGATTAGCAAGAGACGTTACAACATTTGCTAGCGTTCCTAAAGCACCCTGGCTTGTCTCAGCCTAGAAAGGAAGAACTGTGTTAGTGGATCAAAATTACAGGTGAAATACATTTTTCCTGCTTTTAATCTTTGTGTTCTTTTCTCCTTATGTACTTTTCCCTTCCCCTTGGATATTTACAAGATGACCAATGGCTCACATCTGTCTCAGGATGATCTCTACACTCTACTGGCACCACCAGTCTTCGTCCCTGCTGACATTTCGTGTGGAGAACTAGCTATGGCTAAACTTATGCATAAACATACCTATGAAAAGAAATGTCCTTGTTGATCAGATTATTACCAGCATTCTTACAGATCTTTAGACTTACCCTAGCCTTATCTTCTCAAGATGAAGAATGATTGTGTCTATGTACATAGCTAGAGTAATTTAGCCAAAAAATATAGGTTCAGAATTTAACTGAAAGAAATACTACCTTGGAGTCAGCAGCTAGGAGGACTGTACCATCATCCCTGATCAAAGGCTGCTGAATATTCACAAGCATTCCTGGATCAAGGAGACCTGCTGACCTGTTCAAAATTGTAACAGTTAATAATATTTACAGTTATCAAAAGAATGTGTAATTACCTATGTCAGAATAAAAGGTATCGTCAATTTTTAAATTTACAATTTAACGAAGCTCAGAATTTATCCTTCAGGACTTAAGTCTTTCTGGAACAGTGTCTGAAATAGAAAGACAGGAAATTCTAACATCCAATATGTTTTCCTTTCCTGTACAAAAGCAGTGATAACTTCCTAAACAGATTTCCCTATCACTTGCTTTTGACTCTAGTTTCTTCTGTCTTAAGGAAAGTTTTGTCTTCTCATGTCCTTATGAGTCATTTTAGAGCCACAGAGTTATGCATTAGACTTTGGAGGAAGCCATAACTGCGCACTCCAAGTTAGACATGGATAACACTGAATTAAAAAAAGTACTGTAAGAAGGTAAGTTTTACATTATAAAGCAGCCATAAACAGCTGTGTAATCAAAGTCTGCTTAAACTCTCAGCTGCCTTTACTTCTGCTGCCTTTTAAGGGAGATAGGGGCAAGTCCTTGCAGTCAGTAAATATAAGTATTACTTGTTACTTTTATAACACTCCAGGTCTGCACAATCCAATACAAAGAAGTAATGAACAAGTTCAGGGAATTTACAGTTCAGGTGCCTGACACTGAAATTGTCAGCTATCCCAGCCAGCAATTATCATGCGTTATGCAAACCTGAATCCTACATAAATAATACAGTCATGCTTAATGAACATCATCTTTTATAGGTCTGAAAGGGAGCTGTAACACAAGTAAATATCAATGCGGCCAATGTGTCAGACAGTAGCAATTTTTAAACAGTTTGACTCACAAATGACAAATCTGAAAACCAGTTCTACAAATCTCAGGCCCAGCCTTCAAAACTGCAGTGTCACTTGTTCCACAAAGTGCGTGTGTGTATGTGTGTGTGTATCTATCTATCTATAAACTAGATATTGAGATCCACTATCTTTATGTGGTTATTCATTGTTCAAACACTATCTGGGCCTACAGTTTTCAAAATGCGGTATTTAATCTAGACTTCTATTTCATTCTGTTTCGAAAAAGAGAAATCCTGCCTCATTTATTGTAATATTCTTTAGTACTCATGCATTTCCACACCCACTGCCTAAAGAGACAACTGAGAGCATGAGAACCACCTAGAAATATCTTCCATAAAAGGAAGCTGCTCTTCCTTTGCTGCTGTTCTTGAGACCAGTCTTTTGGAATCTGAATCAGCAGTCACTACAGTCTCTTCTGCTACTGTCTTTAGGAGGAAGAAGGCTAACTCCGCTATTTGCGGATTTCATTTCAGAGAAGCGGTAACCTGAATGCATCACAGGGTAAGTCTACGTGCTTTTTGCTTGCATATCACATATTCGCCCTGCCTATGCTTTGACCTGGCTGGACGTGAGTCAGCTCTGAACTGGGAACTACCTCGCTGTACTCGGACATAAAAATTTTGATGAGCAGCAGAACATACTAGGTTGGTCTTGATAATGAAAGTAAATGACTTGTGAATTAGAACTGTTGTCTGGCCAATGGCTCGGAGCATAGAGAAAAGGAGTATAGGTGTACCTGCAAACCAATATGCAGAAGTACCCTTGAACAAGACTAATTTTATACTGAGGTACTCACCGTGCCCCATCTTTATCTGCAACAAATGTTGGAGTTGCTATTAGAGGACTTCGTAGATCTTTTCTGATATAGATTTTTTCAGTGGAAGCTGCACAGTTCGTTGGTTTTTCACGTTGCACATCAAAAGGTTTTCTTTCACTTTGAACCGCTACATAAAAATAGAAAACACACAGATTTGAAAGGAAATAATTCAACCAAAAATTACAAAAAGAAAGCAAAATTCTCACAGTAGGATTTCAGCTTGCACAATCGTAGTGAGGTGTCCGTTCAGTGCAAAACTGGAAATTAAATACGAAGACTGCAGAAATACATGCTCCAGTTTGACTATGCCTATGACTAAGTACACTTTAACTAAGAAAGTAATAGGTTGATCATTGGCTTCAAGTTTTGCTAAACTGAAGTCAAAGCCTGCTATTACATTGGCATTTCATCAAATGGAACATTCTGGAAGATGTATTTTCAAAATCTATTTTTAGGTAACTGATAAGGTAAACCAATATCTAAATGTTAGACTCAATCTTATCCTGGATGATTCAAAATAATACAAACCCAGAATGAACCCAAAGTCAAGACAGGCAAGGTAGCTCCAGGATCACACTGTTATGGGAGAGATATAGCGTAATTGCCTGTGAGAGGAGTTTGTGCGTGTGTAACTTACTCATTCATTCATTCAAGCCAATGAATGCAGCAGCATTCCAAAACCAACCTTTTCAGAATTGAAAATATCTCCACTTGAAAACTTGAAGAAAATAAGCTTAATCTCCAACATGCCAAACAGGTGTGGTAAATCTTTTAATAAAAATAGTAAGAAACAGTGCCTTTATAGTTTCAAATAGAGTGAAAAGCGTATCTTTATAATGTTAGGATTTTATAACTGAACAGATTGTTACAGAAAGTTAGCTAGCTGGAATCTAAGCCGCTAAACTGCACGGAACTCCTGTACAGCTTGGCACACCATTGGACTGCCTCAATTTTTCACCTGAAAATGAGGATAATAAAACTAAGGAAAAAAAGAATATGAGGCTAATACAAATATTTTAAGTGTTGTAAAAACATTAATTCTCACAACGGTTTGCAAACGTAAGGCATTATATAAATGAAAAGACTGTTACTGTGCTATTCATTATACCAATTAATCATACAACAGTTAGCACCCCTAGAGAAGACTCAATCCATTATTATCTAAGAAACAAAAAGTCTAATCCTACCATATAGACCTTTTGAACATATATGTTTCTCTCTATCTTCGTAGCCAGCAAGGCTTATTTACTTCTTGGTTTTATTTTTGCTATACTGTTAGAGGAAAGCAGAATTTAGGGGATCAAAAAGACGGTATATCCATTTTCTTGGCTTGGTGAATACAAAAGTATTCATTAGAAACCTGATCCAATGCCCAGTAAAGTCAGTGAGCATATATCAGATTAATCTTCAGCTAAGAAAGGTTAAATTTCCGAAAATGCAGCAGTTCCTCCTGCACAAATGTGCCCTTTATACTCAGCACAATATGTGAAAGCACAACAATCAGATCACTAGAAGTCTGGAGTTCCAAAGTGCAAACGCAACAAAGAACTCTTATAGTTACATCTTAAAGTTCTGCCTCCTCTGGAACTCAGTAGTACACATCTTGCTTAGATCAGAAGTGCTTCATCTTAGATTCTCCTTAAATTTATCGCAAAACAACCAGGTAATAGGCTTCATGAAGTCCTGGACTGGAAGCAGAGGGTGCTATAAATCAGAAGCAAAGTACATTGGAAGAAGTGTTTGGACCCTAGCACTGCAACTGCAGGAAGCACCGCATACAAAGATGAAAGTATATTTTTTAATATATGACAGTATATACAATGCCTCTTATAATATAATTCTGCTCATAAATGATAAAATTAATTTAAAATTTAAAAAGAAAGGACATCAAACACTTTCTATCACTAGAGAAAGAGAGGAGCAAAAATAAATCAAAAGGAAAGCAGATTCTGAACATGGAAAACTAGACTCAGATTTATGTCTATCCATGTTAAACTATTTCGTATTACAAACATATGCTGTATTTGTAACATGCATTGTAAGTAAAGTTCTAACCAGGCTCCTCAAGGACTACCGTAATATAACGCATAGTTCAAAACAAATCACTGTTGCACCTCAGACATAAAAGGGTGATGAAAGAAAGGTGAGGTAGATTCTTTGGCTGCCAAAGTTCTGTTCCCTCTTAATCTTCAAGCAACATACACTGAAATGGAAAGAAACTGAAGTACACTAAAAAGCAGTGGTAGTCCACATATTCATTACTTGGTAGGCACAGTCTCACATTGGGTACTAAACACTCACATTCCATTTTCATGCCCATCTCTAGGCATTTCTTAAGCCTACAAAACTGGCAACGATTCCGATGGTGTTTATTGATGATACAGTCCTGGTTGCTACGACAACTGTAGGTCAAATTCTTCCTTACGCTCCTTTTAAAGAAACCTTTGCATCCCTCACAACTGACAGCACCATAGTGACGACCTACATGGAAAGGAAACATATATAAGAAATTGTCATTTGATAACATCATATGTTTTAACATCAAAATGTTTATCTTAGGCAAGTAAAACATACCGTAAAAGTCATAATTTAAATTTATTTTGTATTCTTGTCATCATTTTGAATTGTGAAAGCATGGTTAAAGTCTTACCGGATGTTTCTTGCTTACCTGTTGTCAGGGTATTTTGTCAGGGGGAAAGAATGAAAGAAGAGAGGGGAAAGGGTAAGTCTGTTTTTCAGACAGTCTGTTTTCCAATTCTGGCCAAGTACAGATGCAATCCTATCTGCTGTTACAGATAGGATATAAAATATACAAAGGGTATTGCATGCTAAAAATTCCATTATAAGAGCATAAAGGTTAAGTGTTTCAGTAATTTCTTACTTAAGCATGGTTAACATCAATTAAAATATATGCAACCTCCTCCCTTCATCCTAGCCATCATTTCAATCAGGTTTCTTGTATGCTTCATTGTATACTTCCTTACCTGACGCTTTATCCCCACAGACCACACAATATTCTACTACTTGGGGCCGCGGAACATCAGCTTTTCCCAGCAAACGTTCCACCGAAGCAGTGTCTGTCACTATCTAAAATAAAATTCAAAACCAAAAAGAGGGAATTAGCCAATATATTCTCCTGACATGTAAGAAAGAGGCTTAGCCTACAGAGCAAGGTTGGTGTATTGACTGGGAAGAGGTGGCTGAATTTGAGGATAAGGGATAACAAGCTGAAATTAAATTTAGTAGTATAAAATGCAAGTTTATGAGAGTTTTTTATTGCAAAAAGTGAGAGCTCACTGTTTAGAACAGATAGAGGACGAGGAGATGAACATATTGATCAGGGGACAACTATAAGCAACCGGTGCTAGCCACAGCAAAGGTAAATTTCATCTAATGATATATCAGGTGAGCTGTTTCCATTAAAGATAGGAAAATATTAGCGCTATTAACATAAGGCTCTAGTAACATAAGGCTCACATCTAAAATAAATATTCTGCAGAATTTTGGCCAACCATGCTTAAAAATACAGAATTCATATCAGAACATGTTAAAGAGGTACTAAAATGACATGGGAAATGCCAAGCTTACAAGAGAACAATAAAAGAGCAATTCAGAAAATGATGGCTGAAAAGAGATGGCATTTAAAAAATATGTTTTGTTAAAATACCATGCACATTTCAAAAGATTTTTTTTTTTTGATGGCCATTTCAGTGATATATTCTTAAAATGGTCATGGAAAACAAGAATTCCAAGTTAAGCTCCCAACTTTGTTCAGGACAAATAACTTTCCTCATTTGTGCAGTTAACAGCATCCTTCCCTTCTTGCAATTATTGTCAAGCAGCTACTGCATTTTAGCCACAGAGGACTGTATTTCAGATGCTGTTCCCATTTATCTCTTCTCTTGTTAATAGGGATATAAGGTTTAGAGGGGATAGCCTGAAGCAGAGACCTATTATACAAACAGTTCTGCTTCCTAAGGCCTTAGATCTCCAAATTTTATTATTTTTTGCCTTCAAGTCTTTTTCTGTCCAAAATATTCTACTCAACACAGACAAATAAAAGTACAAATCAGAAAAGAACTCTTTTAACAACAGGTAAACCAATTAGCATGGCAAAACAAAATGTCAATTTAAACTTCTTTTTAAAAGACTATCAGCACAATTTTTCACATATTTCTGTAAAAATCATACTTCTTCCTGTAAAATATTCTCTACTCTAACTGTAACAATAGGGGTTAGGCATCTTTTAAAAAAGACATGAATGCTGGGAAGAAATCTCAAATTTCACTAGAGATGGATTATGGTCTTATATAATTTGTTTTGCAATGCTCCAGTTGGTCTGGATTATGCTCAAGACCCATAAAGCAATACAACAAAGGAGAGCTGCTGCTCCAAAGAGCTTCTACTCGGATGTCTCGATACTGCATTGTGAATATAAGCTTGCCCAGGTGAGTTGTATCTCTGCACATCTCTGAATCTCTAAATACCATCTGAAATCCTGGCACTTCTCACAGGAACTAGCTTAAGTATGCATTTATGTCTTTGCACACTTGGGATTTTAACGTGAACACACAATAAGAGGTGATGAATGTAATGGAATGCATGAGGAACAAGAAGGAAGACAGGAGGATTTAAGATTGAATAACGAAGCCTACAATTTGCATGGTTTACACATCTTTTAATAGGTATGGCCCAATCCATGTCATTAGACCTTTAGAAAACTATTACAATTTCTAATGTCTTAGAGCAATTGTATACTTAACTCATCTAAAAATCAAAAACAGAAAGAAAAAAAAAAATCTATGGTTTACCTTAATTGTTACATTTACCTGAATTCTGCCTGGCACAATGTTGTCTGTGGTGGTAAAGATAAGCTGCTTGGCATTAGATGTCTCAGGTGCTGCCAGTATCACCTTTCCTGCACCAGTTCCATCTGGACTGGCTAAAATAAACTGTTGCTTTGGAGATACAGATGAGTCCACTGCTGTCACTATTTGGATTTTTTGCCCTGTTTGCTGATCTGTCACAATCTGTAAAACATATTGAAGATTTTTATACGGCACAGTAAACTTAAGTTTTTAAAACCTTTGATTCTGCCTCAAAATTATATGCTACTGTCTGATAACGGTCCTTGTTATTTATTGTTTTGCTATTTGTACCGTTATTAGACCTGCAAAAAGTTATTTGACCTGCCTACAGAAAGTGCAAAACAATAGAATCAAACCAAATACATATGTATGTGTATATCCATACTCAGTGCAGAGAAGGGAAATGCTAGAAGAGTTTGTGAAAAGGGCAGCTCTGGTATCATTAATGAAAAGATATGGGGAAGAGAACTATTGTAATCTCATTTTACACTTCAAAAGGCGTTATGTATAGTGGGCCACAAACAAAGTAAGAATGAAACACAATACTGAAGACTCCTGTATTCCCTACTGATTCTCTCAATTCTCTAAATGAAGAATATATAACATATTGCAGTTGATGATGAGTGGCAGGCATATATGCAAGGCATACTCTGTCTAATCTAATGAGATAGCATCATAGGAATTTCCTCACATAAAGAATTAAAAAAAAAAAATAGTAAATATACCTTGAGGTAAAACCTACCTCATTCTGAAAAGCTGAAAAGACATTAGCACACTATGAAATCGATCTTTATTTAAAAAAAAAAAAAAAAAAGTATTCCACATACATCTGATAACATTAATAACATTATAGCTGGCCAAAAACAAATACACAATATTTAAAGTTATGTTAGTTAACACTGGTGCAAAATTTCCTTGACAAGTAAGATTTTGCAGGTTAATGACTTTAATCCTCAACAAAAAAATACATATCACTATCATCAACATTTAAAAAATGAAGGATTAAAGACAAATTAAAGGACTGTTAATTAATTTTGAATAGTTATTCTACTACCATCTCAGTACCCAGGTTGTATTTATGAGACTATTTCTTCATGGAAATTCGTCCTTCGCAAATTAAAAACTGCTCTAACTGACAAAAAAAGTCACTGGTGAATTCTTGAGAATTGTACTTGTTTTGAATATATATGATTATATCAGCTATACTGAAATAACATATTTATGTATTTGGCTTACTGATTAGAGTTAAAACCACTATTGAGAAAAAACGTGAAGCTAACTTGCACATACACTGATATTTTTGTTAAATTGAGTGTACTGTCACAATAATAGTATATTTATTTCCCTAATTTTGATTACCTAGACTTTTTATCGAATTGCCATGTGTTTTTTTTTTTTAAACCTGTCTTACAGGAAGTGTAACCGTATGCTAATAATTTTACTAAGTTAGAATGTCTTAAAAAGGACTAGAACTACCCACAAAAATTAAAATTTGTGAAAATCCTGTGTACATCATAATATTTCTACAGTAGCAAACTTCAAGAGGTGTAAGAATTAAATTATAAATAGGATGATATTTTTAGATTACAGAAACTTTTCAGGAAAAGCTCATCTTAGCTGCTTTGATTACAAACCTCGTGAAACTTGTAGGATGGAAATGGTACTCAAAGCTGGGGATGAAGCCAGATTTCTTATGAAGATTAATTTCTGCCTACTACTAAGTTTTGGACAAGGCACAGCTTCCAGAGATTCTTTAAAGACCTGTATCCACATAAATGTTTCAGTGCTTAAGTGGATGAATTTTAATCCAGTTTGCTTCTACTAACACATAACTCCAAAGCAACTCAAAGGTTAAAAGACAATCCTCACCTCTCAGCCCCATGCAGAGTTGTTAAGCTCTCCAAAGTTTTCCCTACAGTTTTCCTTGGCCACCACCATGTTTCATATGGAAGATCTTAGCTAATAGGATAATTCACACTGAAATCTAATCTTGGATTATGACTGGCACCACTGTGATACTGTCTGTATTTGTTTTAAGGAAGTGGGAATATTCTTTTCTCATCCTAATATTCTCCTTCAGCATGGATTCGTAGTTTTTTTCAGAAACATCTGTGATATTAGGAGGTAGATTATTGTGCACAACTAAGCAATCATTACAATGGAAATACCTACCTTATGAATGCTGAAATATTCAGTATGCTTCAGTTATTCATTTTGTGAGAACATATATCTTGCAATGAAATAGCAGGTATGTATTGATACAGCTACTCTACCAGGCAAAATAGAGATCATGCCACCAGAAAACTGTATCAAAAACGGAAACTTTCCATCCAACCAGAATCTGGAGAATCAGCAAGTGAAACAATATCGCTGTCAGATGCTACCATTTTTTGATACCTTAGAGGAACATATCTTAGATAAAACACATAGCTAAATGTTGTTGAGACATGAAGAATATCTCCTTGGTCCTCTCTATAAAGAATAATCACAGAGACTTCTTTGTAACGTTTTATATATCAGATGTAAACACTGATGATAGCCCAGACAAAAGAGGCTGGATAATAAATGGATGATATTTAGCTTTGTAAGAAAGACTAATGATGCATACTATAATTTGAATCTTGGAGAATGATGCTACAGAAAAAAAAAACTGTATTATGATTCCATTAAGTATAACGGTAATATCAAAATTATTGAAGAAGCGTTTCTGCGGCTGTTCATAGGAGCAGGGTTCTCTTTCATCCCAATGACCCAAGTAACAACCCAACCTGATCAAGATGTATCCCAGGGAGACTCCATCCTGCGGTAGAAGCCGCATTGCAAGGACTGTTCCAAATGCCCTGGAGTACAAGGTCTCCAGTACAATCTCTGGCAGAAGTGGAGTAGAATAGGATGGTGGAGAACAAGGTCAAGGAGGGCAAAAGATCAGTATTGCAAGCACTGCAATACTACAGTAACATTAATACTTGGAAATATTTGATATCACTTGGCACTGCAAACATTTAGAACTCTGATATATTGATGGTATCTGTATATTATCTATCAGCAATAACGACCCACTGTGTAGCATTCCCAAAGGCTACTGTTTGCTTAAGTAGGCTAGTCTCTCACTGGCTCCTTCTAAATACAAAGGAGAGCAATGCTTCTAGAGACCATCTTAGAACCGAGTTGGTTGACAGTGTCTCTCCGTTTGCTATGAGAGAGCTAAGGGAGATTTGTACACCTAGGGTAAGTTTAACTTTTGCAAATACTTGCCACTGACTCCATAGTCAATATGATTGTTATATACAGTCAAATAGTCATCACCAAATACAAGCTTAGGAGTAAAATAATTTTAGTTTGCACTAAGAAATGATCTGCTCTCACACAATTTAAGGAAATTTTCCACTGAATTTAGCATGCTTGGTACAAAACTAAGTGGGAGGAGAAGAAAAAAAACGAAGGTGTAATAATTAGTCAATGGATTTTTACCTGAATGCGCTGCGGTGAAGCTACAGAGGAGTCTGTGGAAATAATCTGGATACGTTGGGAAGGGCTGGTCATCACTGGAGATTCAGATAATGAAGTCTGAACAGTCTGCACCTGTAAATAATCCAAGGAATTTTGATTTGCTGTCACAGTCCAAGCACACTTTAAAATACATGTAAACATCAGATGGCCCTAGCATGGAATCGAAAATTATTAGAAAGATTTCAGCTGTTAAACCTACTGGGATCTACTTTCAATGAATTATCAGAATATTGGCTTTTTCAGGAAAAGAATGGATCTGATAGATGAAAAAAATAAACAAACAACCCCTCCCCCACAAGAACCACTCAATAATTATTGCTTGTCTCAAACAAAGAACATGTAATTAAACTGTGTGATCCTTCAGTTTATTGAAATGCAAAAATACACTTTTTTCAGTGCTTCAACTTTCAGTGATGTAGTCAACACTTTTTTTGCTTCTGTAGAAACAAAACGGGCTGTTTACACAATGACACATCATGTTAACTATTTCACCTTTTATTAGCTTTAAAGTACTGTATGAAAAATTTTTCCAATTTCAGGTGGCCCAAATTTAATTAAGCTTTCCCTAGAACCCTAAATAAACATGTCCTCAACCCCAGAAACACAAATGGGATGAGAGAGAGAAAAAAAATCTGCTGGAAAGGTCCACATAATTCCTATCTGATCACACTGGCATTCACTTTTTATGTCTCATATGTAATTTGATCTATAAAGTCTTCCTGAAATGTGGTGTCTTTATGGCTTACTTGGAGAAAATGGCAATTTCATTTTCCAAGTAATAATTAGAACTATTTTACTGTGCTATACTTTTAAGGTAATTGGCAAGATGGTTGGTTATCTGGATATCTGTGTTTTAGACAGTAGAATAAAATTAGAATTCCAGTTGTTCAGTGTGTTTGTATCCCACTTTTTTTTTTTTTAAACTAGTAATATTTGTTGCTTTATTTTCTACCTTGCAGTGCTGCAGATTTGTTCTGGAAACTATACTTCACTAGAACGCCAATATATTGAGGTATACGTGGGCAATCCCTGTTATTCTCAGTTATTCTCAATGAGGATTTCACCAGTATGACAGAGACTAAAATTTGGTACCACAGCTGAATACTATTGTTGTTTCATTGTTCTATTTATCACTTTCTAGAGCACCAAAGTTGTAATGCAAATTTGGTTCTGAATACCTGGAAAAAGCTTTAAAAAGAGCCACTTGTGTACCCATTTTCAGAGAATGACTGTTAAATATTAAATTAAACATGCAAGATAACTATTGGCTTGACAGCCTTTATCTTCTGTTTACAGAAGGGATGTGGCATTGGCAATGTAAATTTATACATATAACTCTACAGACTGTGCTTGTCCATATTCAGACTTTGTGCTTGTTCATCCTCAGCTTTATTGTTCAACTCTTAGTATTAATTGCTTCTTCTTAATAATTTTAAATGAAGTATAGATGAGGACACCTGTATTCTGGCCATCACAATCAGCTCACTGGTAAAAAGGTGCTGCTTGCCATTCCCCACAGCCACCCAGCCCTTTTTTATTAAGCTTAGGATATAGTGAATAAGGCACTTATAAGTGCCTTATTTAGCGTTATTTGTTTATTCAGAGATAAACATGAACTGAACTATCATGTCAGACCTTAGCATGGAGAGGAATCTCCAGATATAGATGTGTATACATACTTTTTTTTCAGTATTGATATGTGCATTTTTGTCCTTTAGTTTTGAACTTGACCACACAGAAATTAGGATTTAACCCAACAAAAATAAAAACAAGGTATGTCAGAATTATTTGGAAGTGCTGGAAGAATTAGAACCCATCTCATTCAAATACTTTTTTTGTTTTCAATACAGAAGAAGAAAAACCAATCCATTCTGCTACTTCCAATACAGGAAGTTATTAGAAAAAAAATTACATATACTTATTTGTGCAGTGCTCTTTAAGGAAAGCTTGGCTTTCTGGTGTATTTTAGAAGTCACTAGTTTATGACGTGGCTCCATGCTTTGACTCTTACGAGAAATTTCGGAACAAATAGATATTTTGGTTCTAAAAAAATCATACACTGCCTATGTTCACCAATATTTCTCCCTCGCCAACAATCACAAAAAAATCTTTGAACAATGTTTCACGTACACAAGATACTACTATCTTTGTGTGACAGACTCCAACTAAGAACAAGTAATATAATTCTAATTAGTAAATAAATGTTTACACATTAGACTGCAGCAACTCCAGAGGTGACGTTACTGTCAGACAGCAGTGCAACATGGATACCTTTTCAGTCACCTTTTCATTGACAGTTTTTATATAAAAAGATGGAAAAAACACAGTAATATTTAGAAGCCCGCGGACAGCAAATTTTATATATGCAGCATATCTGAATAACAACTACAGTATTTTCTTAAAAAGTTACAATAACAAAAAAAGTCAGTTTCTACCAATATTCCATTTTATTGGTAGTAAAATACTCGAATGACATCTCTATAAAAACAATGAACAGAATATGGCACTATTATTCTCTTCTACGGTCAGTTTAAGACATAACTGCCTACTTAAAAACAGCAAGGCACAAATAGGCCACAACTCTGTTCTTTGAAAAAATGTTCTAGCCTAGATTCTTATGCAAATCTAATGCTAAATGGATAATATTTACATTACTTTACAGATTTTACATTTTGATGAGTTCAAAATTGTAAATAATCCATGGCACTAATTAAAATATACAAGCTTTGGGTTTTTTCAAGCCCTAAATACACACTTATACCATCCCACACTATATACAGAACTATGTGCAGTGCCAGACTGATGAAAATAATTGCATCCTGTATGGGAATGTACTGTACTCCCTGGAAATCTTCAAGATAATGATTCTAAGGTTTTGGAACTTGTCTTTGAACTCCCTGTCTTGGTTAACCTCAAAGAAAAAAGCCAAACACTTTATATATTTGGGAGTAACAATACAGTCTTTAACATATGCAGTGATATGTGGCCCAAACCAGGAAGTTTATAGGTTGTTTTAATAAAAATCTTCTTCTGCCAAACAGTTGTGGAATGACTTATTTATCAAAACTTGTATAGCTGGACAACAGGTTAGTGTCAATTTAGTCACTGTAAAAGTAAAATCTAAATTTTACTTTTAATCTGAAATTAATCTTTCACATATATAACAAAAGTTGACTGACAGATGAGGCAAATTTTCAGGGGAGGTATAGAAGTAGTAGTATCTTCTAATCATTGGATGATAAAGGCTTCCAGTAGCACAAAACAAGATATGTAGACAACAAAAAAAATGACTCCTAACATCAAGAGGCTCCTAGGGGACACACTTGATCAATGAGGCTCCTAGGGGACACATTTGAACAATGACCTTCTTATCTGCAATGCAAAATCATTATCTAAGCTATATACCCTTAAAAAGATCTAAATTGAAGCAAGAAGATCTTATAAGACTCTTTTTCAATTGTTTCTGAGGATTCTGAGTTACAGAATCCTTGGCCTTTATTTGAAGGGTCTTAAAGCCTTACATCAGAAAGCACTTGGGCACAGCTTTGAAATAGACCTATTTCCCCTTGTTGTTCAGAGATTTACATCAACACACAAAAATCATGCCAGTATATATATATAGTAACTAAACTGAAATTCTTCTGTAAATATTTTGGGGCTGAACAGCCTTTTATTTTTATTGTGTTTGTACAGTACCTATTGCAAAGGAGTCTTCTTGTACAAATGAGGTTCCAGGTACTATGTTAATACAAATACTAATGTTTTATGCTGTAAAACATTTTCTCAATTTTTATAGTATGGACCACATTATCATATAAAGGTTGTTTCCACTCATCAGCTCCAGTCTCCTGTAACATACATGTCATTTCTCATCTTCACCATATGACTAGTCAGCTATTTTAAGTCCAACAGTGAGTACTCTAGAAAAGCTGGGTAAGTTTGAGACCTGCTGCCATTATATACTGATGTGTCATTTTCATGTTCTAATATTCATGCACATATATTTATTAAACTGAAAAACAAAATATTTTAGTCATAATCTTGGCTAAGAGGATATGGTGCACCAATGAATAATATTTTGTCTATTAGTGAATGTTTCAGTATGTATCTTACATAATTTATTTTTATACCCTTATTAACACATGTATACATACATACTGTGGATGGCAAAGGACTCTGAAATGCAGGACTTATCTTATTTTTCAGCCTTGTCTACTTAGTACTTTGTGAAATAACAGCTCTTTTAAATTTCTGACTGCTACTGAACATTTGAGGTATATTTTCCAGATAGAATACACATGCCATTGGTTGGCAGCAGAACAACAAGCATGGCAGAAAATCAAATGCAAAGGGGGAACATATATTTTTTGAAATATCCCATTTACAAAAATGAAGAAAAAAATCTGCTGTAGCTTTGTTTTACAGCTGAATTTCTACCTTGAACATTCATTCACCACAAAACATCAGAATGAATAAACTTATGATGCTTTATTATGGTCCTATCCCAGTAAATTGCACCAATTTTGATTATTTAAGTAATAAATAAATAAATAAATAAAGCTGAGACTATACAATACTGACTAGATTTTTAGCATTTTTATCAGAGATTTACCAGTTGACTTCAGACAGGTTAAATAAATAAATGCTTTAGGAAAAATTAAGCTATCTTAATTAGATCCCCAAATAAACTGAATCACAGTATTCTGAACTCAAATGGTTTGTAAGTACCCATTTCAGGAAGATAATATGGTTTATATTTGGTTTACTGATAGGATGACACACAACATTGACTATCCTAATTTATTGTACAGAAAAACATCACACCATGAAAACTGTATCACATGTTTAAAGCAACTGCTATGGAAACTATATATGCTATATGCAAAAGCCTAGTCCTCCAAAATGAATTATAGTAAGTGCATGCAATTCTAAATGTTATTAAAAAAAAAGTCAGATACACTTTAATCAGTCAACTTACTGGGAGTCTTACAGGAGATGATAAAAGAAACAAAACAGGCCTTAAATCATAGCAAATTCCCGTGCACCACATTTTACATAGAATTAATCATCAG